GTGTCGGTCTGCTCATCACCCATACCCACATACACACAAGCACTCACACACACTCACCTAGACCCGCACCAACATCCCACACTCACATCTGGCAGCCACACTCGCCCCATGCCGATGTAAAAGGAGTGTTGAAGTATATAGGGTGGAAAGTTGAACCCGTCTCGCACAATGGTCAGTAAGGAAAGGTCAGGAACAAAACGTTTTACAGTCCTTTTGATAAAAGTTTTTGGAGCAAGAGTTTTTCAATAGCAAGTCAATATGCGTTTGGAGCGCACTTAATGCGATTTCATATGAGATACTATTTAACTGTTCAGTACGTCATGCGACTGAAAAAATTAGAATCCAAGCAAAAGAAATGTTGTCGTTTGGCTATTCACTGTCTCACCTCTTTCTTTCCTCCCCACAGACTGTGACCGACAAAGTGGCCGATAAACTAATTAATCAAAAGGTTAGATAGTTAACTATTCTCTAATTACGATTTCGTTGGTAAATCATTAATGACGCGTCGCAGATCATGACAGACGTTGCTGGTACTCACCGAGCGATCATAGGTCGCTAAGATCTCATGAAAATATATAAACTGCTTCTTTATTGCAATTCTAAAAGATAAAGTAAAAGGGAATAGAACATGGGTCCCAATGGATATCGAAGGAAACAATATTCGCGTGATTAGTAGTAACAACAGCTACATCGTGTTTGATATTTTAATTCCACAGAAATAGAGCTAACAGTTATTTTACGATATAATCCTTTCTGTGAGCAAATGGAGAAATTTATCTCAAATCGACCATTAATAATGTGAGTGCTTCTTTGAGGAAGGTTTTCGCAATAAATTGATGAAATTGATAAGTAAGATGTCAGTCTTATAGGACTTGAAAAATGCCATCTGGTTCAGTGTCGTAGAGAGTTGCGTCAGGCAAACGAGAGAATTCATTCTGAAAATACTTGAATTCTGACTGCCTAAAATATACGTCGAAGAAAATAAGGACACTTCAATGCTTTTTAGTTTTCATCATGTTGCCTTGGAACCAACTGAATCTGATTTTTCATTGTTTGACTGAAAGCAATAACCTGTTAAGTGCTTTTTTATGACAAAAGGTTTCACCATGCGGTGCTCATCGCATGCAAGCGCTCTTTCTTTACCATCATATAAGTGGCAAAAGCTCTTAAGGTAGAAAAACAACTGAGAAATAAAAATTATTCTTCTTGTTGTCGTGAAAAGAAGAAAAGGAGGTATGACAAAAGAATGCAACTCCTCAGCACTGATTCAATTATATATACTGTCGGGTAACTCAAACAAATTCCAGTTTTATTGGTGCATTCGCTTACTGCACATTGTTCCCCATTAAATTATATCAGCTAGTTGCCAAAGCTCCCTAAATATCATCGCTACGTTTCTTTAAAACAAGTGGTATGTATATTTATGGTGAAATTTTTAATGATTGTACTTACAAGCAATACTGTTTAGAATAGACAATTGTCTAAAATGCCGACGGAATACAAAAATGTTGAACTAAGTCAAGTGAATATGGTTCCTGCACAAGCCGCGTTAGTATATCCTTTTTGTTGCACAGCTTTTCTTGTAAAGAGTATGATTTGCTCATTTATTGACAACTTTTACAGGTCGACAACAACAAAAGCTTTGATTATTGGGGGAATTGTGGCGGGTGTCACAGTGTGTGCAGTACTCGGCATCACTCTCGGTTTGCTTTTGAGAAAAAGTACGTATTACAAGTTCAACAAAGCAAGAACCATCTAATAGTCAAAGAAAATATCGTTTTTCTAATTTTGAGTTGAAAACATAATACAAATTTTGCGATACCGATTGAGATGTACATCACACTATCTCCACGCCTAAGGTTGATGATTTTGGTACCAGAAACCGCAGATTTTCAGCAAAAACCCGTCAAAATAGCGCTGTTTTCGATCTGAAAACTTACAAAAACTGTAGCAACTTGGAAGCAGGAGCCCGACAATCGTACCTGATGGCAGGATTTTTTCGTCTTCTATCAAGCCTATTCGTAGTCTAGCAGAGCCAGGCATCGGATTCGATGAGAACCTTCCTACTTCCAAGCTTCTACTATTTTCTCGAATTTTCCAGCCAGTACTTCTTGGCTCACGAGTAGGTGTATCAGTTTCTGGCCCCGTTCCTGAGAACTCGCAACCCGGTGTGGGTTTCGTTCTTGAAAATCCGGCAATCCATACCAAGTTGATACAGATTGAAAGGATAAGCATGTCCATACGTCTTAATATTCCCAAGACAAGCAATCCTTGCACAGGATTCCGGTCAGGATTTCGTCGGAATCCGATAAAAACTGACGAAATCCGACAGAATCCTATCGGATTTTGCACGTGTCCGATCAGATCCGACAGTCGGAATCCGGCCCATGGGATTTCGACAAAAATCCGACAGGATACAGACGCAATTATTTGAATCCGACGGGATCCGACCGAGCGAGAATCACCTGGGTTCCAGGTCGAGAATCCGACCATTGAATCTTGTCGGATTCGATCGGACTCAATGTCGAATTATGTCGCAGATAGTCGGATTCCACCTTAGCCCGATCGGATTCTATCAGATTGTGTCCAGAATCCAGTGACCCGGAATCCGAAAGACATTTAACTGGGAAAGGATCTTTCTCGGATACGACAAGTACCGATGAAAGGACGCGATAAGGTCTTATCGGATCTTGCAACGAAAATTAACAGATCCGACAGGATCCAGTCGGATTTTAATCATTAGGCTTCAGTGGTTGTTCTCTTTCCGATTCATTATCATCTGTTAAATATATAACAAATATTAAGATTTCTGTCTACAATGGTAAAAAATCCATTGTCTGACCTTCTTATCATCTTATTGAGAAAGTAAATGCGAGAGAAACTCCGATATAGTCATTAAACACAGTGCAAAGATATTAATAATCCGTAAACTATAACCTTACGCCCATACCCTCATACCCATACCCTTACACCTATATCCGTATGCCTATATCCCCACACCTATATCCCTATGCCTATATCCTTACATCTATACCCCTATGCCTATACCATTAAACCTACACTCTTACCCCAATACCCTTATACCTATATTCTTACACGTATACCCTTACAGCTATACCCTTATCGCTATACTCTTATACCTCTATCCTTAAACCGATATCCTTACACCCATATTACTGGCGAAAGCAGAATTTTGACGGTGGAGGGGCTCAGCTGGTCGAGCTCTAAGCCGGTGGTGGGGCTCGTAAAAGTGTTTAGCTGACGCGGCTTCGCTTGGTGGTGGGACTTATCCCCACTTGGACACCCCCTGGCTACGCCACTAATCAATATCCTTATAGCTATATCCTTACACATATACCCTTACAGCTATATCCATATCGCTATACCCTTATCGCTATATCCTTATCGCTATACGCTTATATCTATATCCTTAAACCAATATCCTTACACCAATATTAGTGGCGAAACCACGATTTTAACGCTGGAGGGGCTCAGCTGATCGAGCTCTAAATCGGTGGTGGGTAGACCCCGTCGGGTAGGACCCGGACCCGCACGGGTCCGGGTCCGGGTCCAAAAATTTTATTTTGGCCGGGTCCGGGTCCGGGTTCAAAAATTTTATTTTGACCGGGTCCGGGTCTGAAAATTTTGCTTTAACCGGGTCCAGATCTGAAGAAAACTTTGATCCATACAATTTATTTTGAATTTTTTTAAAGTTTTGTTCGTTTTATACAAAGAAGAGATCAAATGTATTTAGAAAATAGATAAAAAACAACAAAACCCTTCTTGACTATACTATCTAAACTGACTTGTCATTGTGTTTGGATCCAAAAAATTTAAGCGACCGGGTCCGGGTCTGGGTCCAGCAAACTGTAAACGGATCCGGGTCCGGGTAGAAAAATTTTAAATGATCAGGTCCGGGTCCGGGTCCAAAATCCTGGGCCAGGGTCCGGGTCCAAAAATTCTGGATCCGACGGGGTCTAGTGGTGGGGCTCGTAAAGTGTTTAGCGGACGCGGCTTCGCTTGGTGGTGGGACTTATCCCCACCTGGCCACCCCCTAGTTACGCTATTAATTCATATCCTTATACCTATATCCTTACACATATACCCTTACAGCTATATCCGTATACCTATACCCTTATGCCTATACCCTTATACTTATATCCTTAAACCTATACCCTTACCCCTATACCTATATCCTTACACCTATACCTTATACATTTACCTTTACACCTATACCGTTATGCCCATACCCTTACATCCATACCCCATATGTCTATATCCTTATCACTATAATCTTTAACTGACACGACGATGGTTATAATCTTAGTTCCGTACACCTATGGATTAAGGTAAAAGTTTTAGTATTTGCTAGAAATTCTTTTTTTCTGTGCTATTATAAACTCTTGAATGTTATAAGTAGGATAGAAAATATTTTGCAGCTAAATGAATAGGATCCTCAATGTTCATAAGCCCAGTACTACCTTAAGAAAAATGATATGACTCATACTATAGAGAAGATTCTGTTCACATGACCGAAAGATACACAGTACTGAAAACTTGCATGAAACCATGAAAAAAGAGTGAAAAGGAAGAAAATGAAATGAGGAAATATAGACAGAGTCTAGTTGAATTAATTATGCCAAAACGATAATTGAATATCTGTAATATGCTGGTGAAATGGTGGTCATCTCTAATTCGCTGTATGCAAAAGGATGATTGTTACTGATTATCGATCTTTCATATCGATGAGTTTTTTCATATGGAAGACACTCGAGTTGTAATGGTGCTGCAGCTGGATGAGTTCGACGCTGAGAAGAAGATTATAGTGTGCTATTAATAGTGAAGGTCTTTCAACCAATAGAAAACGACTATAATAAGATGAAAATATAAATCACTGTATTGTTTGATATTGTATTTATGATAAAAACTTACTATTCTAGGTATTTCCTTACATATAAGAAATTCTATTGGTCACATAAAAAGGGCTTCTCTATAGTACCACCTGTATATCTTCCCTAGTGATAGAGATAGAGTTTTGAAAATTTAGGCTGTTATTCATGTGGTTGCAAAATATTTTATTTCGTAATTAGAGCCTTCTCAGATCTGTAATAAAAGAGAAGAAGACATTTTTTCAGCAAGTACCTACGTTTTTGTCTCACTGTGTAACTAACACGAGAGAGCATCAACCCTCAGTCGACAGCAAAACGAATAAAGAAAAGAAGCTTGCCATGTAATTAATAAGCGGTAGAGAAGAACTGTTGTCAAATAATTTTTTATGCATCAGACAAAGCACACGAGTACCAATAATAGGAGCATAGCATAATGAAAAGAGACCACTGTTCAGTATTCTGTACATTGATACAGTGAAAATATTATGATATGAGAAATTCTTTTTGTCTAAATAACTCTTGTTCATGTACAGTACTCATACCGAAAGTATTTGATGCCTATTTATTACTAACTGAGCGTTCAAGTCTTGTACTCAGTTAAATGTTTATAATACTAATCTCGTGCAACACCCTAATCGATTTGGTGCTTTCATTCTTATTGCAGTAGCGAGATAAATATTAAGCATGAGAAATCATCCAGTTTTATTTGAAAAATAGTGCTTCAGTAATCATTTTGTAATAATGTTTCTTCATTCTGCTCATTCATCAGTATGCCTGAGCTCATTTTTTTCGTTGGAAGCTAACAAGCATTCAATTAGTAACAAATGTATCTTCAAAACATATGTTTCACTGTAAGTCGACGACAAACGTCTCAGAACTTGATTAAACCGACTGGATTCCGACAAATGAATTCTATCAGATCTGTCCTTCAGATTTCATCAGAATCCGGTAATCGGAATGCATCGGAAATTATGGAAATCAATTGAGATCCGATCGGATTCCGACAATCGGAATTCTATCGGATTCAGTCATCGGAATTCATCGGATTGCGACGGATCTGACAGAATCTGATGGCTCACCTTCGACCTGGGATGATCAAAAACGTGTGGAAAGGAATATTCAAGAAAGTTCCGTTCCTTGGGACCGGAACTCCAGGGAACAGGGAACTCTGAAATCACTGCTTACGAGGAAACCAGCCGACTGAAAAGCGAAAATTGCGCGTCTGTGAGTGTGGGTGTGAATGTGGTTTTTTACTGCCTACACCCACATCGAAACACTTACTCACCCATACCCGTCTCCAGCTAGCCCTCTACATGGTACATCCTGCACCAGTAATAGCATTAAAAATAATTTAGTGCATCATCTTGTGATGTGTACTTAAGGAGAGGGAGGTTTTCCCTCAAGACACCCTCAAACTTTGTTATTTTGTACAGAATACTTTTAATGGAGTGACTATGTAATAAGGGTGTGGGTATTAGTGTTAGTGTGGACGTGACTGTAAGTGGTTGTGACTGTCACTGTCGAGTTTCTTAAATTTCCCCAATTGTGAATTTGGCCAATAGCATGCTCGGTATCGGCGAACTTCTCGACGAAATCCGTCAATTTTCGAATTCCTAATGTGAAATTCCTAAATAAAGGTTTTTTTGGGATTACGGTGTTCGCCAATTGGAAAATTGCGTCCGGAAACTTGTCACTCTTAATCATTGAAGTGAGTTTGGGATGTGGATGAGGAAGAAAACCACGCGCACATTCATACTCATATCTACTGATTTATTATTTGTGTTTATTCCAACTTAATAGAATTCTCGATGTAGGAATGTGCACTACAAAATATTGAAAGAATTTCCTTTCTCGTTTCTCTGCTTGAACTATGAACGATTTACTGAAGGTGTGTGACATTTTTAGAGAAACAATGAGGCGGAATTTCGAGATGCAGTTTTGCTTATAAATAAGCACAATTTTTTCGAGAGCTTTCCCGGAAGTTTACCTCAAACAAAATTTCTTATTCTCAAGTACAAGTTTTTCAAGAAATAATCAATATTTTGAAATATTTTTTCACATAGAAAACTCCTCTTTCGAATCTGGTTTCACAAAAAAAGGACATGTATTTTGATTAAGACTTTGAGGACATTCGAAAAACTAATAACGTTGTTTTTAGACGGAAAATGAGTACAACTTAAGGCCATTTGAGTTCTCCGCCACTGTCTTATATATATACACACTAAAATAAAATGTGTCGTATATATGTGTCGTACAAGAATGTGTCGCAGACTCCATTACAAAAATGTGTCGTACAAAAATGTGTCGCATTATAAATGTGTCATAGCCTATATGTCAATCGTTCATTCACCGATTTGTTTCGCGAGTGCAGCTGCATATAACCGAGCCTATTGGACGTACTTGACTTATACATTTTCGTATGTCTTTTTTTTCTAGATTATTTCTCGACCATTTATTATTCGAAAACATGTAGAGATGTCGCTAGATGATCGAGAATGGACTGCCTCGAAGTAGTCTCATCGAGATCAAATGGTCTCGAGGCAGCTAGATCTTAAGATCTACCGTCTCGAACTCCAAGAATAGGTGCTACTGTTTGAAATTAACTGAAAAAATAGTAACTATTCGAATTTTCAAAAAAAAATAATCCTCGTGCCGAAAAATGGATTCGAACCACGTGTTAAAAATGTGTCGCATGTGTCGTACGTCCGCTGGAAGAAATGTGTCGCAACGAGCTCCTCGTGTCGCATATTAATGTGTCGTACATTGTGTCGCAAAGTGCGACACATGCGACACATTTTATCTTAGTGTGTAGGGACAAAAGTCAGGAAACTGTTCATAGTGCCAGCAAAAGGACTCCGATAATAAAATCTTTTTAGAGTTTTTGGTCTCATGAGAACCTACAGATGTGTGGAATATCGTATAAAAACGAATTATAATCTGAGCTTCCGTAGAATCTGCTCGGAACTCTCAAATGACTTTCGATGCCACCGTAATTATGGGATTCTTGCGTTCCTTCTGCTTCTTCCTATAAACACTGAAAATTATTTCACATTTTGATCGTTAATTCAACGATTGTCAAATTCTTCTGTACTTAACTTTTCATTCTCAACTTCTAATTCGTTCTTTGCACAGGCAGCTCTACGCTTAATTGCTACACGGTAGCCGCGAATTTCCTGACAACATGTGGTTCCTATACCACTCCGGTTGCACTAATTAATGCCACAACTGGTTATAGTGTGTCATGCAGCTCAGGATTTACTTCTTCAACGTGCCCTGGCACTTATTCAGGTGGTGTTTGTGTATTTTCTCAGAAGTTGTGTGTCACATGCTCCGGAACTTCAACTGTTCGTATACGTGTTCAGTCCAACGGGCTCCCACGATTTTGTCCCAATTCGCCTCAGGCTATCAGCGAACAAAATATTGACTTTGAAGTGAATTTCAATCCAACTGTTAGTGTCAATTCACTTAATCAGAATGCTGCAACTGCTTCAGAATTGAGCACGATCGTTTGCAATATCAATAGCCAAACATCAGCTCCATCTGCATCGAATCTGGTGGTCTACGGTAATCAAATTGACACGCTTGCGGGTGTCAGTGTCGATGGTGTTTCCATTATGAATGTGAACAGTTTAAATGATGTTGATCCGTTCTATCCAACAGGAACCATTGCAGCCGAATCGGTTGACGCATGTTTAGGACATCCAAATCCACAGAATACTTATCATTATCATATGGCATCAGGCTGTGCATTGAGTCCACCATCAGGTACTATTTCATCATGTACAGCAACTTCTAGTTGCAATTCAAACGTTGCCGCCTATGGTATATCATTGTTTAACTCTTATCGCACTTTGACAGTAATTGGAATAGCTAAAGATGGTCATGTTATTTACGGACCTTATGACTCAACTGGGACAGAAGTAAGAAAAAACGACATAAATTTTATTATTCATTAACCATGTGAGTTGTAGTTACGTATAAGGTAGTGAGAAAAAGGTTATAAATCGTTTAGTTTTGCTCTGAATATTGCTTCTTGGTATGCGAATTAAAAGTACGATGAAACAGACTACAACCAAATAAGGAAGTACCGGTGGTGGCATAAAAAGTGTATGCAGAGGACACTTCTCTAAGGAGCAGATATGCAAAATCGAACAAATTTTTTACGTTTAAGCCGGTTTTCCTGCAGAGGTGGAGAAAGCTCAGCGTAATCATGTTTAACCCTCTCCCTGTCTTAGCGATCACACAAGTGGAGTCAGGAGCAATCTACAGCGACATATTAGCTAATCACTTGATATTATGTTTGGGTTATACCCACACTTAATCAGGATCATTTCAACTTTTTCCAACTCACTTGTTCATGACGATTTTCGTTTGTGATTTTTTAAAAATTTTATTTGTGTGTGTATCCTTGGTTATTGCCTAGCTTTATTTACATAATCTCTATATTCTACCATTAATGTATAGTTCTACTTAGTGGTTCTGTTAAGTTCATAATTCAGTGTCAAAATAACACATCAAATTCAACATCTCCGGTAACATTATTTGCTGTACGTAACAAAGGTGGACACAGGATAAATTTTTCCATCCAGTCCTGTTCTACTACGTTATTCCGTCCTAGCGGACAGTAGGATAGGACAGGATAAAACGAATTCTTGCTTTTACTTTAGATCACAGACTCTTAATAAAAAGAAAAGCACAAAGAAAACTACTTGTCATCGAAAATGATACAAATTAAAACGCAACGTATATCATAAGAAAAAGTAAAATTAGGCTAAATTTTTATTTCCATTTGCATTAAAAATACGTTACGTACCTCTCGTTTTACTAGACAGAATATCATCAGCTGTACTTTGTACAATATAAGCATCAATGACTCCTGCCTCGACCTGAGAAAATGATTTTCTAGTATGTTTATGAACTAGGGTATTTATACATTTATAATAATTGGGGTATTAACCTCTTAGATCCCGCTGTCATCAGGCTGAAGACAAGTAGAACGCAAGAATTTTTTTCGTTCTGTCATATCGATAAACCGCTGTGAAATAAGATGTTCATTAATGTGACTGTAGTAATCCACGATTCATATACAATGAAATATGCATGTATCAGCTGATTTACAACGACAGAATGCAAGAGAGAGTGATTTTTCGATTTTTCTGGAAGATCATGAAGAATGCAAGAATTGTCTGGACCCAGGAATTTAAGGTTCAAGAGAAGGTAGCTGACATTTCACTACAGGACCTACCCAAGGTAAAGCGTCCTTCGTTGTACTGATTTCGAAGTAAATCAATATATTATGGCGACATCACAAAAAAGTTTTATTAGTGTGAGTGCATTTCAAGTTTTTTATCTTGTAAAAACTAGATTGTGATTGTTCACTGCACTGTGTATCTCTGCATTCTTCTTTCGTATTTCGTAAAAAAGCTTTTTATATTACTGCGTTTCATCTTGATAGAATAGTCTGAAGTTTCTAAAAAATGGTCTTTGTAAGCATTAATTGTTGACGTTTCGCTTAAGAAGAAACAGAACACTTCAAACTTAAAAAAAAAATAGAGAAAATTTTCAGCAAAAAAAGGTGAGCAAACATTGTCAAAATATTTATTAAGAGTCCCTTGATAAAACAGACCTTCCATCTTAAAACAATTATTCATATTTTGTTCAGCTCTTCAACGTAAGTTTGCTTGTTGTAAATGTGTGCATAAGACTTTCTTCTTCCTCCTATTTTGTATATGTGTCCAAGGGGCAAGGATAGCTCGAAAAGAAGAAGTCCGAACGGCAAAATCTTTTTGTTAGCGAACTTATTCCGACTACTCGAAACTTCTCGCGATGGATCGTCTAATGGGCATCAAACGCTCAAATAGGCTGTTCGGTGTAATATTTTCCAATGGATTGAGTGCTCGAAGACATGCTAAACTCATTTTGGTTGCTTTCGATTCATCGAAATCAAATTACCAACATTTTCAAACAGTACCTAGAACGACCCATTGAAATGGCCAATCATCGAACCCTCCATCTCTGGAACAACGTCACTCGAGCATTCGATAGGGGCCATTGATGAGCATCAGAAGGCTCAGATCGACATTTCTGGATATTCCTCAGAACATAGGTTCGGCAACTGTCGTAAACAAAATGCGACATTGTAAGAAACTGTGCAACATCTTTTTTTATGCGAAATATTTGTTCTTGATTGAGCTTAAAAAACACTCGTTTTCGAAAAAACCTACACAAAAATACAAAAACTTGAATGTAAACCAATAGATCATAATATAATCGAATATGGACAAATTAGACTATTCAAGTAGACTCAAAGCTTAAAATCTGAACTTTGACAAAAGCTTTCAATGACTGAGTGCATACGTGCGTATACGGATAACAACTGGTAGCAACTAGATCTCGTACAACACAAGCTCATGTGCTCAGATTAGGGAACTATTTCTAGAAATCAGTTTAAGAAATTCAGCTGTCTCGGAAATTATTTGCATTTTTTGAACACAGAAGTAATATTCAAAAAACAGAATAAAGGTTTTGACCTTAAAAGTGCCTCCCTCAAAAATCGAACCAAATGTTTTTGAGTCTCTCAGTTCCAAGAATCGAATTGTTACACTTCTAGTGGCAACTTGCTAATTTTCTTTTTAAATTTTCTTTTTCGTCTAAATAGCGCCATTAGTGATTCTCATTTTGTTTTTATTGATGCATATGAAAGATTGATTTTGAGAGAAAAGTTTTCAGTGTTATTCCTGCAGGATTAAAATGTGAAACACAATTGGTCTGCTTCACTTGATACAGAGCACTCCACACATGTTGTTGATCTTATCCTTGATGATTAGATAAACTAAACTATCGAAATACCTACTAAACTTTATGGCGCTATTGAGAACATTATCCATTATTTCTGTCAATCACGATGTATATGGCAAGGTGGAGGGTTGTTCACTTTTCTTTCTATATACTTCAAGACTTCTTTCATTAATTACTTCTTAATTAATAATTGAAATAATAAACCTTTGCTTATGACATATCAAAATGTCTGTCGCGTCTGAGTTAGGCGGATGGAAGTGGCCCAAATTTCTATCCCTACATATGAACACCTTTTTTAGATCGTGGTGTTGCACAAAATTAACCGAGTGATTACGTCTATAATAACATGTTCTCTAGCGTTAGATATCATATGAATAAAAATTCGAAAACTCAACTTAGTTGCTTGGCTGTCACCTGTCTGTGTGCTGCCGATCACTCGATTCCACCACCCTTGCCTATTTGATATCTTCCGATAGATTGAGATATGATGTGATATCTTTCAATATGTATTTATCAGTGCTTGAGAATCTATGATTAAGTTAATTAATTCGATTTTTTTTCTCAGGTAACAAGTGGCTACGACATTTGCAATGGTATGTTCTATAATTCAGCTGGCGAGTACGCCTATTTCGCGACACGAAAATTCCCGTATATAACTGGATGCTTTGGCCCCGGAAGCTATCCCAGTGTTTCCGTGAATTGTTCAACAAATGCACCATCTTCATACTCAAAATCAAGTTATGCTGGTTAAGCTATGTCAATGTTCAGCGATGGAAAGTTATTTTAGTTTATACCAACATGTTTTCAATGACCATGAGCATATTTCTGAAACAATGACCTACATGTATTTTAACCGAAAAGAAGTGAACTGGTTTAGACATTGCACTGTTTTAGAATTTTCTATTTTATTTTTTTCCAGTATTTTATCTCTCTTTCTCTGATCCATTGATACACGTTTGAATTACCGCTTCAGCAAACTGGTTCGTTTTAAGACAGTGACAAAAATGCAAAAGAGTGTCGTACGTTCATACGAATCCTTTTCACAGGGCTTTGAAAAGTGAAACAAACACGAAGCAGTATTTTAGGTTACTAAAATAATGATTTGATTATTATGGACTCAGCTGCTCTAATTCTTTAAAATTTGTCAAAACTCCGTAGAGCAACATCTCTGACAACGACCAGATAGAACCTGAAAATGACCTGAAGTCAAGAGGGAAAGCGTTACTTCTACTACAAATCAACTTCCCGCTAATTAAGAGTCTGGGTGTGGGTATGAGTAAGGGTGCGAGCCTTCCTTTCAGCGGCATCGTCCGCTGTCAACACCTACGCAGTTACACTTACACTCCACACCTATCGGCGCCCATCCTGGTTAAAATGGTATAGCTGTAGATAATAATGCATTTACCTGATCGTTTTTTCCATTTTTCACTTGACCGAGTTGTCTAGTACACTCGAGAGGTGAGTCATTCGTAATTGGCGCTAGCCACGATGCGACTTTCTAGGCAATAAAAGAAAACAATTCGGAAGTACATTTTCAGAACATATATAACATTCGAACGGTCATGAGTTGCGAGATAGAGATATGTGCCTCTGGTCGGCAATTGTGGTTCCATGTAACTATATAAAAAAAACCTTATTTTTGTTAATCCTAGCCGGGGAATATAGATCATACCGCTTTATAGGTGGAGCGACGTTTTCTCTGTTGCTAAATGTTTGACTTATTCAGTAGAATAGTCGCTTTAATGATCTTCACATATAATGCTGCTACATATTCAGTTCTTGCTCTTTAGACATTCTTCAGATATTTGGTCTTTTTTTACATTAACGCTAAGCATGTTCGAATATGTATTACCCGATGGAGTGCGCGCTTTTGATCTCGGTTAAATCCAATTAGAATATTTATATCCGAAAGAGTCATCAAACAACACCCTTCTTTTGTTTCATAGTACAGTGCATGTTCCTGATTTGATTGGAACTGATGCGTTTACATTGGTAACAGACATAGAAGGACGATTCTCTTCCAGCAGTTGTTCTAAAGCTTTGGCAAATCGATTAAATTCGTGTGGAGGCAACTCGCGCCCATGGTATTTCTGAGTGAAAATTTTCGCATAGATATTCATCTGTTGTCTACGATCCTCAATCAACAATTGAGCATAATCAAGCATCTCTTCACCTGTTCGAAAATTGAATAGATTGTGAAGTTCTATTGATATTTGATTGCTTGCAAACCACGCATGAATGTCACTATCAGTCGATGTCCATTGATCGACTGGACGGACTGTAGCAGTAGTTGACTGTATGGCAATAGAAACAGGCTGTGGTGTTTCTTGATGATGGTGTGTTGATGGAAGATTCTCACAGATCAATGGTCTTGACGATGGGAGTGCTGCGAGAATTGTGTTCAACAATTCGGTCATTTTCACTTGATCAGGTTGAGAACAATCTCGAAAACGAATATACTTCATGCCAGTCATACGAATACCTAAGAGAAAAAAGTTTCGACGAATTGTAAAATTGAATCTCTACTTACCGAGCCATCCTTTCGGTTCAAAATTATCAAGCAGCACACATACAATTTTTTTCTTGAGCGAATCATTAGCGTAGATAAATTCTTGGCGACATGATTTACTTTCAAAATATTCAGTTGAAAGTAGACATACAATGATACATGCTGCTTCCATTCCGTTAGCAATCATTTCCCACAAATCATTTGCTCTTTGACAATGCGTACGATCTATCCATATCTCGAAGACATCATTGCATGTGGCTAGTAAGCCGAGTATTTGAGTGCAAAATGTATTATTATCGTGTGAGTAACTAATCATGATTGATGGTTTATTGTTTACACTAGAATATCAATTAAAATTCAATCTTAGTTTACTAATCAATCGCCTCGTGTACCTTTCGACTGCTGGATTCGCTACAAGAGCATTAACACTAGTCTCTTGTTGATTAGGTTTCACGTCATTTCTACTATTTCGATTGAGATTATGTAGAATATCATTAGTTGCTTGTTTGATACTTTCCATTGAACGCGGCTTGTATTGCTCGATCATTTCTTGGTCTTTATCATTTTCGGCAAATTTTTGAATTGTTTCTATAAATCTTTCATCTTTAACTAATTCTTGCGCATAGTTTGGTTGAAATGATATACTCCAAAGAATATTCAACAAGGCTACTAATGTAAACTGCTCGAGCCGATCCGTTCCTTTCCAAGCATTGGAAAATGAGAAGAGCAACGAAATGAATAAATGCACAGTAGAAGACATATCCGATGTAGGCTCAGTCTCCGCATGGCATAAGACATAATCGAGTGTACGCTCTTCGACAACAAACATTTTAACCAAAACTTCAAGCGGTTCACTAATATGAAAACCATCATGTCGATGTTCATCACTTTTGGCAGCATCCATAACAAGCAGTAGTAATTGATTCAGTACCGTATTCATACCTTTCTTATCACATTTCAATTGTTCTGGTGAAGAAAGAAACGCCAACGTCATTGAAATAACAAGAATTCGTGAATCCATCGTTTCTATCTTCCTTATAAAATGAACAGATCATAAGATGAATGTTCAAAAATGAACTCACATTTTCTGATATTGTTTGACAACATCAATAGCTCCGTGTTTGTTGAGTTCATCAACTCCATCATCGTGTCGAGAGATATTATGAATGATACTTATGAGTGGTTTTCGACTTTCAGCTTTCAGTATAGCAGACTGAGCGAGCCAGTTGATGATTCTTTTGGCAAGACCGCATTTCAATAATGTTGGAATTACCCTTGTTTGATCGGTTAAATACCAAATCAAACGAAGAATTTCTATATTAATAGAACTCAAAGCGTAGTCTTTTTCCACCATTGCCTTAGAATGTTCGGGCATATTTTGATCGACATGTTCAATCAGTATAGTAAAAAGTTCAACATGATTATCCATGAATTGCTGATCCTCGATTGTCGTAAGCTCGAAACAACCAGCTGCTTCTGAGGCTATCTTTAAGAGGTAGTAAACATGCTTCTGAGATGTGACTTCATCTGGTAGCTCTCGCTTTCCACTAGACAACATAAGGTACTGCTTTATGCGTGTTTGATTAAGCTGAGTGACACAATCGAAATAGTTTCTACGAGCAATGTCGGCATCGTCTATTATTGAATAAAAGTCAGTCGATTTGGGTAAAATCGGTAGAACACGAGCACATTCATCGTAACACGATTGAGTGACTGATGGAGATGTTTGTAGAACTTCAAACCATACAGAAACGAATTGTAGCCATACTTGCTTCTTAGATTTCGTTGTTGTTGTTGAAAGAGCCTTTAAATTCTCTAAACGATTCATAAGCTGTTGGCATGTTGATGATTGATTATCGCCCAGCATGATGTCTGTAACGTTTTCCGGAGGACACATACCTTCCATGTTGATTTCTTCCGTCATATTATCTAAAATTTGATGTAGTCTATTTTTACATCGAAAATCATCCATATTGACATAGTAAACATGTATGTGGGGATTGTTTGATGAAGGTGACAAAAGAGAAACAAATATTTATCTTTCGTCAATCGTTTGCAACCGAAAAAGATTGAATTGACCGAAGTGTAGAATCTCAAGCTTTTTTTCTAATTTTTGAATTGCTTTTCTACCGGCACTGTTGTTTTAAGCTGCTTTTCTATTGATCATTCAAAGCGATGATATATTTCTGAACATATGAGTTGGTTTCTGTCTGCGATTTACTTGAAGACTAGTTTCATAGCTATCTTAGTATATACTCTTTCTTTCGGAAAGGTGTCAAAGTTAGAGACCTGCGGGAACAACTTTTTTTGGTTCCCGTTCCCGTGTTCCCGTTCCCGTATTGAAAATTTTTGTTCCCGTTCCCGCGTTCCCGTTCCCGTAACAAAAATTTTCGTTCCCGATCCCGTATTCCCGTTCCCGTAACAAAAGTTTCGTTCCCGTTCCGTATTCCCGTTCCCGTAATGCTTTGAGAATAGCTACAATGATTTCATTATTCACATTCATCAACACTACTCCTACTTGATACTAGCTTTTAGCAACATCATGTTTCTCACAATACAAGATTCCGTATATTAAAAGTAAATTTCTGATTCAAGGCTCATAAACCTATTGAAACTTGAAACTTGAAATTTCAGTTGAAACTTGAAATTTCAATTGAATTCAAGTTTCAAGTTTGACATATATGTAATCTTGATGATCCCAACTTCGATGCCGACGACGACGATGGTGGTAAAGAATATCGTGATTCTCATAATCTATGTTTGAATGAACTTGTCTGATTTTGTTCACTGATATTTGTTCTCTTTTCAATTATATTTCAAATGTTTATTGGAAATCGAATACTGTAAGATTAACAGATTTTAATGCAAACAGAAATCGGACATAGGGTTTGCCGGGAACAGAAATTTTTAATACAATTCCCGTTCCCGTGTTCCCGTTCCCGGAGTGTCCACCAGAATTCCCGTTCCCGCATTCCCGTTCCTAAGGTCTCACGGGAATTCCCGTTCCCGATTCCCGCGGGAAACGGGACGGGAAAACACGGGAAAAAGTCGTTCCCGCAGGACCCTAGTCAAAGTGCCCAGAAAATCGCTGAGTATGCGTAAAATAAAAAAGATTATTAATACTGATATTCATTCTTCACAACATGTCACATTACATATATGGACTCTTATGCGTTGTCAAGAAAAAATACAAAAAAAAAAGTAATTTTTGTTTTGAGTCTCATGGCATAACGATGATAGAAGAGAACGGAAGGCTTACGCAAAACTACGTGAAAAAGTACAGTCGCTCAAGAGATAGTTTGTCAACCAATCGAGCGTTTTTTCTGTAGATCATACTCTCAGCAATGTAGACCTCATCATATTATAAGTGAAATCAATAGCTCGTACATTGAAACTATGAAGCCTAAATATGAGTTCGATTGATCATACAACAAAAACGTTATGACGATCACACTGACGACTCCTCACTGATTCAGTCAAAAGCAGTACTTTTTAAATGTGATTCTCTTATACTCATCGAAGTATAATCGATTTCCCCACAACTATATATCATAGGATAGCGCATCGAACCCTCTGTAAAACTAAGTAAGATATCAGTGTGAGAAAGAGTATAACCATGCCTACACCCAAAATAGAAATGAATTTTTTCGTAAAGAAAATTTATAACAGTTTCTTCAGGAGATACTGTGAAAACACATTGGAGTGGTTCAGAGACACATTTGAATGAAGAAACACATTTCTGAGGATGCAAATGGATGAACCGAAGATTCACATCTTGTTTCACATAGAAATGGACATCGGTTTCTACTATTAGTATTCTTAATCGGCTTTCAAGTACATTTTCTATAGAATATAAAGATTGACAAGACGAACGTGTACATGATTTCCATAGAAGATAGTGACAAGTGGGAGACAAATATTTATCAGATACAAGATGATCATCAATACTCTTGATTGTAAATTAGTACTTAGTGAAACGAAGAAGCTTCCACTTCTATTTAACGGAAAAGAGAACGACAACAACGTCCTACCTAATACACAACTTTGCGTAAACTTACTTTCGAGATTTAGTGAACATAACCGGATAGTTGAATATATTTACCTGTGAAAAAAAACAACATGCATAGTAAATGTGTGTTATCGAATATTCACATTTATTGACTTGTAAGCCAAAACGTTTTCATTTTCTTTATGAAGAAACAGCACTACAAAGCATTCTGTTAAATACATAACATGGACTATTTGTCTGCTATTTTCTATGAGAATACCATGGATGAGAATACCCCCTTTCGATAGTAATATTACCTGATGTTTCGCATTAATCATACTATGTATTTGTTTAGATCTCTAACATTGACGAAAAGGATGAAGTTATCAATTTAGATGTTTCTTTTCAGTACGACAAAATAGCTCAAAGTATGCGATCTTTAGATGTTTTGTAGTCAATAGATCATTTACCTGATCTATCGCATTCGTTGACTCTTCGACACATGCATTGAATTTCGAGAAATCATATTTTCAATGAAAATTTTAAATCTACTCTATTTTTTGGCAATATCCAATGAAAAAAAAGTACTCATAGTAGTAAATTTGCTTTTATTTTAACCTGTATTCGATCAATTTTATTATCAAAAAGATAAGAGTATACCATTTTAATCTTGCGAAACACTTGAAATACTGAGATCAAAGATTTTTGCATCTTACTGTATATTAGATGTCATTGTTGCGGGATACTTCAAATTTGACTAATGAAAACACATGCATTTGTAATTACTCAAGAATTAGCAATTTTTGCAACAATTGAGCAATAACATAGCTTTCAGATAATAAACTTGTCGACACGTGGTGTTTTTTTCATTTCTATATGGCAACGTAGTTTTCATTCGGTTTTTGATCAATCATTCTTTCTTATGGTAATTTCACATAGACTCCATTATTGCTCGATGTAAAACACACAAAATATTTCTTTCTTTTTCTCTGACCAATATGATTAGTCATTTAAACTAACGAATGTATAATAAACAATGAAATCATTCGTTTTTTTCTCGGTCAACTTTCGTGATGAAATCTTGTGTTTTGTCTCAAAAGCTTACCGTTCCATTCTTTAAAAATCTACATAAGAAAGTTTGTTCTACACTTCTTGTTAAAAGAGAAGTGATCGATTGATATTTGTGCTCGAAAATATCTACCATATTTCAAGATAAAATACAGTTCTTTCGGTTTGGTTCATCAGAAATTTCATTCTTCAAGCAAACATACTAGTTGTTTTGTAGATCGGGAAAAAAATCTATTTTTCAACTATGTTCGAGCAATACTCTGACCAACACACATTGCTTAAAAAGAAAATTTTCGTTTGTTTATTAGTTGATCCGAACGAAGGCAATCAGAATATTCACATTCGAAAAAAATAACTTATGATTTAACGGGTGATGCAAAAGTTCTTGCACAAATGTCCGTTCATTTTTATCTACAAAAACAGCCGTCAAAAAAATTAAAAAGTACCTATTCAGAATCTACGTTGAATGAGCTGTCTACTTATGCGTTCAAATATATTTTTTATCATATCTTCTGTTTGAGTAAAAAGCACATATTTGAATATCACTAAAATGTATTCTGTAAAAACAACTCAAAATGATCGCGTCAAAAGAAATCGATCGTATAGTATTTTTCGATTTTATTCTGTTCACTTCATTTGATTTCGTTGATTATTTTTTCATAATATTCGTCGTGTAATTCTGTACAAACCGAGTAGAAAGATAACAACATTGATGTACATAACATCATTAAAAAATTGGAAAACAACAACCTACGATATATCGCCAAAATTAAATGTGAAAATATTACTGGACTAATGAGAATTTTCAGAGATTTGAGCGGCCGCATATAATTCGAACAAATAAAATAGTGGACACCGATGATTTGGAATAGTAACCATGTCAAAAATTCGAGGTCTTTAGACTTCTAAAATGTACTGAGGATATAGGAAACATTGAACAACGCAAAACAAATATTTGCCTATAAAAATGGTAAGAGCTGTGCGTTTTTATTTTTCCAACGCTATCCTAAACAATTTCATGATGTTTTATGCCTGGTTTGTAGATAATTAAACAGAGAATTTAATGAGAACAGAAGCAAAAAAATCTGATGGAAGGAACAGGAGAAAATAAAACAATACTGAAGTTTTTTTTTCTTTGCAGACTACATTTTCATGCTGTTGAAAGATATGTTTCTTACTCAAAAGCAAGGCATGATAGTGATTTTTTAAACACACAGGTCGAAAGCTCTTTCAACGCAGATTCTAAACAGCTATTTTTTATTTTTCTGAAACATGTTCTAGTAGATGAAAATTAGAAACACATTTGTGCAAGAACTTTTTCATCACCCGTTATTAGTAAAAAATGATTATGCTAGTCTAATACGGAACGCATCCACATACAAATGTACTGATATTCTTTTCCATCTCAATATGTAAAATGATTCAATCTGAGACGATATCAACTATTTACCAATCAATGAAGAGTTAACTTTTCAATGAACAATACCGAATAGTTACATTCGTAAAAAATATCACATATGAATAGAAAATTGTTAAGATGATCAAATTGATCTATAATATCAACAATCGTATCTTGTGAATCAACTGGAATTTCAACATTATTAATAAATATTAATTTACAATCATTTTCTAATATAAGAGTGAGAATGTGTAATGATATCACAAATAATGGATTATATTTCTTAATAAGATAAGTTAATCGAGGACAATATTTTGTTAATTTGTTATCGAATATCTCATGACATAAGTACTGAACTACAAAGTATTAATGATTTTACAGATGTAAAACCATGAATGGGTGGTATTATAAATTTATCAGTGTCGACTACTAAAGAATCGATTTTATTTGGATAAAAAAAATGTTTTCCAATATTTGATGGTACTGTTGTCGTAAGTGAAAGATTCGATGAAGAATAAATAATATTTTTTAATTGAAATCGAGATCTTAAATATAAGAATGTTTGTTCATTATTTAATAAAATATACTATCACAGTAGAAATTAAAATATACATTATTTGCAAATGTTCGTTGTTGGTCGGAGCAAAGAAGCCGAAAAATTTTGAAAACTGACCTCCTTTCTCTTCACTTATATCCTTACACTCAAACCCATTCAACTTGACAGAACTAACACAATACCAGAAGTTTTACTATGTAAAGTTATTTCAATACACTTATCATCTGATAATATGAGTATCTATTGTCTTTGCATAGCAAAATGTGTTCTATCTTCAAGATATAATGTTAACAATATTATAGTTTTTGTCAACATCTAATTTTCGAAATTAAGTGCCATGGAATCCTCAAACATTACTGATATAAACATTTATTTCAGCTTGTAAAGATTATGTTATTAGTTGCGTTAAATCACTAACACAAGTTTGTGCTACAAAAAAAAAAAGTTCATGCAAAGCAACTAAAGCAACACGCGGTACAAGGTACTATTCTGTTAAAAAGGAATATTGTTCAAATGTATAGACCTGAATTCTTTAATATATTCAATAATTTCTCGTATTATTGTCTACCTCACTAATAAATAATGCGCGTGCTTTTGTAAATTATCATCCATCTGAACATGTATTTTAATTACTACTGCGACATATATATATAAATAAAACTATAGACTATTTTTTTACCTTCCACAAAATGAAATGTAAGATCCGTAAGGCAATAAGAAGATTGTTCAACATTTATTTTCTTTATCAATAAAAAGATGAAGATGTGGAATTGAACTTTTGTGATATTAAAAGTTGAAGTAGTATCAACATTTTCATACTTATCACTATCTCTAATATAACAATCATCATCAAGAATAAAACTGCCATCAATTGTCAACTGAGTAGGCATTAGAAATTCTATTAATTTTTCAATGAGTCAAAACTTTTGCTTGTTTTGCAAATAATTGATCAAAATTAAAATCAAAATTTTTATAAGTATCATATTTTCGAATTTCAAGATATTTAACAGATTTTATCATCAAATTATTTCAATGAGTGTTACTGATTGAAAATGCATAAATTGATGTTTGAAAAATAGAACATATTCCTAAAATATTTTGATTTGACGTAGTATATTTTCATCAGAAAATAACATTGAGATGACTTGTTTTGGTTGTAAATTACAACACATATAAGCAATTTCTAATCTAGGTGTTGATCGAAAATAAGGATTAATAAATGATCGAAATATATCATATGGTAAGAAAATAACAAGTACGTTTTTAACTATTGACACATTTTATTAGATAAATAATAACCAATTCTTCAATATATAGACTTCAAACAGATGTTAAATCTGTCTGATACGTGTATTCGAGAGAGTGTGTGTATATCTTCTCTTCAACTACACACAACGTACAATAGGTTTGTATCATAAATGAAATTATCTTGATAATTTTTTTTTGACAAATGGCTGATATAAAGACCTGTTATTTTGTATTTCTACCATTGAGTAACCATTGTTTATAGATGAATCGTTAAACATTTTCAGAGGAGAAATGGCCATTTCTGTGTGATTGGGATCATATAAAGCTAATACAAACTAGGAAAGTCAGTCAAAGATAGTGAAGTTGATTCGGAATAAACTTTTTCCGATGAAGAATTTCCTCAGTCGTGAGTGAGAGTGTAGATATATTGACATAGAGAAAACTTATCATCTGCTTGACGATGGACACGGAAAACATCATGGAAGGTGACACGCGGTTGATGAAGTCACAATGAGACACTTTATTTTGAGGAATACGATAAAGATAAATCTCATGTACCGTTGATTCTTTTTCTGTACCTTGTTGTATCTTACTTTTTGAAAGAATGTAATGAATATTTTTAGTGCCCAGCAACGCAATGATATGATTTAACAAAAGTTTGTGTTGGTGTCGATTGGATAAAATTCAAGTGAGAAAGAAATGACGGATGCAGGAAAAATGTAAAAATATCAGGGTTTTCCCTTTACAAGGGACTGTAACAAAAAAATACATTATCAATAATTAACTTCTATATTCTAAATTTCAACGAGATATTTATTTATAAATTTATGAATAAAAACATTCATTGATTAGGAAATACACGGCAGTTTTATTTTCAACATTCATTGAACCAATCTTCGAGTTAATTATTTCGATCATATTCAAAATGATCTATTGATATATCATTCTGTAATTCTTGTTGCCAATATCGATTAAGACTTTGACAAGATTGGTTTATTTGACATTTATTAAAAGGCTTGATGAGTGCTCCGCATGCAATTTCTGAGTCAATACATGACGTATCATCAGCTGCAAAGCGAATAGCTCAAGCGAAAAATTTGATGAGAAAAAGGAAAAACTTTATTAAAGAAACCGAACATAACGCGAAAATAAAATGCAAATCTTTATAATTAGAGATGTGAATTAATATTGGACCAACAATCGACATCCACATCCAATGACAAATTTATTATATGGAGAGTTCTCATCAGCAGAGACTGATACCCAAAAGAATAATTTGAGTTAAAGAAAAAAAAATCCGAAAGCAAGTCGTCTGATGCTATGTACAACATGCCATTTTGATCTTAGTCATAAATAGACACTGCCAACATGGAAAAGTGGAACAAATATAATAGCCTGTAAACATTAGTTTTTTCTTCATATTTGTATGGCTCACAATCAACATTTTTTCCACAAGGTAACCATTAATTGAGAAAAGAAAAAACAAAGATATGGGAGTCTTGAAATGAGGTGCGTGCTTAATTTAATATTGCATCCCCCTCTACACTCTTATAAAAAAAAAGAAAAGCATTTATGCCGGCTTACTTGGAAGATAATCGTTTTAAGTAAGCAGAAGAGATCTTTCTGTGCAATCAAACAAAAAAAACATCTTTTCGTATCGGAAAGTACTAGTTCGAACTAACACGACGTTTTTCATGCATGTGTTCTAATAGATTTTGTAATGAACACGATCGCAATAGACACAAGAAAAACTTTTTGACGTTTTATGAACACATCTTCTTTTAAAGATTTTGACGCGTTCTCAAGAAGTTAGTTTTCTAGATACTAGAACGCATTACTTTTGAACAAGCTCAGGCGCAACTTTCGAGATACCGTTACCATCCTGATGAAACTCTTTCATTGTTATGAATTTTTTTGATATAACTTTCTTAGGAGAAAAGATGTGATAGTAGAAATGCATCTTCATCTTCACTTTCAAGATAAATTATTCGTTTCAATTTTATTTCTATTAGTTGTAAAAAAATTCAATCGAATTAAACATCTTCAAAAAGTGTTTTTGATTATTCAAAAAAAAACAAATTCTGCCAAATATGAATGAAGCCATTGATAACTTATCATATAAATTATAATATAAGCAACAAAGAAGTTTTCTAAATTTCTTATCCACTTTATTGATAAAAGAGGAAGAGAAACTATTAGTCTATGAGCTATAGAGTCGCTTGTCTTTATAATTTGGTTGATAGAACAATGCTTCATTTTTTTGATTGACGGTATCGGCTAATTAGACACCTGAATGCATCTATATAAATACTGATGTTCATATGTCCAATCATTACATTAATGAAGATAAACATGGAACACTCATTTATTCAATTGCATGATTTACCTAACGAAATTCTTATGATGATTTTTAAAAAACTGACAAATATAGTAATACTTTATTCTTTAGCAGGTATTCATAAACGATTAAATCAAATTGTATATGATTCGACTTTTACAAATCATTTGAGTTTAATGATATCTATGTCCAACGGTTACATTAATCCATTACTTGATCCGATAATTGATCAATTTTGTTTACGAATCTTACCTAAAATTCATCATAAAATCAAATGGCTTGATCTTGAATCATCTTCAATGGAACGCATTCTTCTTACTACAACTTATCCTAATTTAACTGGACTTGGTTTATATAATATTCACGAAGAAACATTTACAAATCTTTTTATGGGTAAGTTTTTTGTTACTTTGATTCTGTCAATAATAGATAAATTAAATCTTTAAACAAGTTTTTCGAAAACGAAAACCTAGAATAAAATAAATGATTAAGATTTATGCCTTTCATATATGTAAATTATTATCCTATTAAAAAAAAAGAAATAAAAATCATTGTTTAGATGAAGATCATTTCACTCGCACCTTCAAAAATCAAATTTTATCACTTATTATTGATATTAATACAAATGGACAACACAATGTATCAGAAGATGTGATTTCAATTATATTTACATATATTTTTACTACATTCACAAATTTAGAATATTTAAAATTTGGTTCATCTTCAATTATTTGTCCACGATTATCATTTTATATTCTATCTCCATTTATTATCTCATCAAATTTATTAGAATTACATGTAGATTTAGAATATTTTACTGATTGTCTTTATCTCTGTGATGGACGTTTCAATCAACTTCATACACTTGATGTTAATATTTTACGAATTCAATGTTCAAATCTAATCATTAATAATGCGGTAGATTATTTTTTTAATAACAAAATTTATTTAAAAAGAAAATTAATAATCCTATTTCCTTTATCTTCTTCTAGCAAAAACTACCTAAGTTAAAATATTTTTCACTTTTCTGTGGTAATGATACATATGCATATGATGAATTAATTTTGCCATTATTACATCGAATGTCAAATTTAGAAAAACTTTATTTATATCTTCTTATTTATGGAAGAGAATCATTTATTGATAGTAATGAAATGAACTTAAATATTATTAATCATATGCCATATTTAAATACATTTACATTTAATATTTATTCATTTATTCATTTTAATTATCAAATTAATTTATTATCAAATGAAGATATTCAAAACTCTTTCAAAAATTTTAAATATAATGAAGTTATATCTTGTGTTGATTATTTTCCAAAAACAGAAATAGGTCAATGCCATATTTATTCATATCCATATCAATTAGAACATTATGATACTATAACAAATAATTTTCCAGGTGGAATATTTAAATGTGTTCGTAGAATACTATTATTTGATGAACGACCATTTGAAAATGAATTTTTTCTTCAAATTTCTCGATCATTTCCATTTTTACAAAAATTAACTGTTGTCAATCGAAAACGACAAAATAATAAAGCATTTAGAACACAAAACAATGCTAATGAAAATATATCAATTATTCGATATCCTCATCTTACTGAACTTGATCTTACTGCTGCTCACATTGATTATGTTAAACAATTTTTTTTTGATACCAAAACATGTTTACCCAATAATGTTTTTCTTATTATCGATTATCAACTCATGAAAAAAACAACACGAAATTTTAGAAGAAATCTAACACGAAGTAATTGTGCCAAACTTAATTGTATTTTATTTTATAGAAAATTAACATTTCCTGAACATTTCCAAGACTATTTTCCTCATACAAATATATTATAATTTTTATTTATTTATTCTTTAAATAAAAT